CGTGGTGGTGACTGACTCCTGCTGGGCAACTGATCAGCCGTCGCCAAGTGGAAGCCTTAGATACGACCTCATCATCAAAGGGTGAGACACAGAGGGATGCTTGTGGTGATCGAACCTTTCTTCATTGTTGCTGTCCACCCCCTGTCATGTCTGCTTTCCTGTTTTTGAGCAGCTGCCCTAACCCCGCTGACCAGACCGTGAAGGTGGAGGGCAATGGACTGGGAACATCCAACTACTTCTCTTTCAACACCTTCCAGTTCTCTGGCAAGACTGGTGACGTCTACCTGCACTGCAGAGTAGAGCTGTGTGTGAGGCAGGGTAATACCTGCACCCCGGTATGAACCGTTCCTGAGTTTATTCACAGAAATGCACAAATAAAAATGTGGGTTTGAGAATACTGGCACAAAATGGAAAATATAGTTCATTGATAGCATCCGGCGGTTTGGATCGCTGTCTGGCTTTAAAACCCCCTTGCAGACCTCAAGCCAAACCCTGAATTTCTTTGAACTGTCTTCCAGACGTGCAGCCAGGCTGAGAGAAGGCGCAGATCTGCCATGCCAAAGTACAAGGATGAAAATCCTGCCTTCATCAACTTGGCCTGGACTTATTAAGTAAGTTGTGCTGATCAATCGCATTAGTGCAAAATTCCAGGTCATTGCTGCTTGTGAAAACCATGCAGCTCCAAAACATCAATTTTCCATGAGCTGAGAAAAAATAGCTGTTTTCAGCCTTGTCATGTTGCATTTTTGAGACAATCCAATGGGTTTTTAAATATGGTCTTAAAAGTCCCATAAACAAATAAAAACTCATTACTCACATTGGCTTACCTTTTTTAGGTTTCCATGGAGACTTGGACCGACTGGAAAGCCCGAGACACAAAATGATCCCTGTTTTAGCTTTGTCCTCCATCTGTGATCTTTGCTGTGAATCTCTGCTAGCGCATATAAATGTAATCAGACACCCACACTGATCTGTATCAAGCTTTAGATATGTTTGGTCTTGTTTTGGGGTTTCTGGGATTGTGTCCCCTGATAGGGTGAAAATTATTTCATTGGTGAGGTTCTGATTTGATTGGCAGCACATGACACAGGCACAACCGTTAAAGTGTCTGGAAGAAAGCACCAACCAAGGCTTGATAAGTAAAGACGTAAACATTGATACTGTAAGATTTACAGCCAAACCAGACATGTAAAGTTGATCATATGAGGTTCTGTCACATATTAATTGGTGATGGTCCCACCATGTTCGTTTTGTTGTGATTGTTGGAACCCTTTTCTGCTATTTGCAAACATTCCTCTGACCAGGTTTGGATAAAAATGCAAGGCCTTGCGAACAATGTGGGAATTGTTTGACTTTGAAACCTGCAACCCTCAGTCTGTGGCCTGAACAACATCACAACATGCTGCATCCCTCACCTGTCTTTACTATGATATTGCACATTAAATAAAAAGTGAAATACTATATATGCTTTGAGTCCCTTTTTAGGTAATGCAATCACAGAAGTAAATATTTCTGCTGTGTCCTACTTATTTATGCTAATTTATGATTAGAGGTTCAATAGTTCACTGTTATCAGATATGATGGAATAAGGTTCACCAAACATGCAAGATTTCTGGCCCTATTTTCATGGTGCTGAACTGACGAGCTCAAGCAGAGATCTGATGGTTCAGTATTTTCCTGACACTGAAATTCTCATAGCTTGTTTTTGTGGTATTTTGGTTCTCAGTGAAGAGCACACAGTGCACAGGTGAGAGGAGGAGCTCAAATCCCAGTCAGCCAGTGGCCTGTCAAAACATCGATACCGTTTTTGAAGGTTTTACCTGCTCCATCAGTGTCATTTGCGCGGGCGGTTCCAGCAGATAATTTCTTTCCCAGTCCGACCGTGGAGGCAATACTGGTCTGGCTTTACAGAAATGGAGAACCCTGTGAGCTGCGTGATCCAGCGTGATTCGCTACATAATGTTAGGTTCATTAGTGACCGGCTACAGTAGCTATGATAACGTTAGATAACTTGCTGTCTAACCCTAACCCTAACAACAGCCGACATAAACAGGCAACATGAACAGACCGAGGACAAACCAGACATGAACAGACGAACCGACACAGACAAAGGGGAGCACAGAGACTAGATAGCCACAAGTGAGGCAAGGGTGATTGAACACAGCTGAAACACATTACGCAGACAATCACCAAACAGAAGCAGGACCAAGACAGGAAGTAAAAACAGAGACACACAAGGAAACCAATTACAAAATAAAATAGGAAGTGACAATATCCAAAAATAAACTCAAACAAAAAGTGTCTGCCATGGCAAACCATGACAAAAGGATTTGTTTTGGTCTGAGATCTAATAATGATGGTGCACAGAGCAAGGGAGGGAGGGGATTTGTTTCTAAGTAACAGCCGATGTTATTGTAATATGATGTTGTGCACTGTGATGAGGAGGGAACAAAGAGCTAGATAAGTTAAATGACAGAGGGTCAGTTGTTAGAGCTCGGCAGCTCTCCTCTCCTCCTCCTCCTCCTCTCTCTCTGATGATGATGGACGGAGTTGAACTCTGCTTTCCACAAGTCAACAGTTCCTGCAGGAGGCTGAAACGTCCTCACTCTGACACTTTGCTTATTAACAGTGTGCTGTCCTTCACCTCTTTGCTCACTGCGACTCTCAACCTGCTGGTCATCATCTCCATCTCCCACTTCAAGTAGCTGCACATTTCATCTAATTATATAATGTAAATGACTGCAAGAGAAAGAGTACACTTTCTCAAAATGCTTTTGGATTTGTTGTGGTTTGGGTCTGGTTTTATCTGCTGCAATGATATTTCATAGTGCAAATGATGATTAGTATGTTGCTTTCTTATCTCTCCAGGCAGCTCCACACCTCCACCAACCTCCTCCTCCTCTCTCTGGCTGTCTCAGATTTTTTCGTGGGCTTCATCATGTTCTTTCAGATTTTCTTCATAAACGGTTGTTGGCTCTTTGGTGACATCATGTGTGTTCTGTATATTGTTTTAGACTACCTTATTACTTCTGTCTCCATAGTAACCATGGTGCTCATATCTATTGACCGCTATTTGGCTATTTGTGACCCTCTGCATTACCCCATCAAAGTCACTCCTAAAAGAGTTAAAATCTGTGTTTCACTGTGTTGGATCTGTTCTCTCTTCTTTACCACTGCGCTGATGAACGAAAACCTGAAACAACCAGGCAGGTATAATGCCTGTGCTGGAGAGTGCATGCTGGTCTTTAACTTTATTGAACAATTTGCAGATTTTATTTTAACTTTCATCATTCCAATAACTGTCATCACAGTTCTGTATATGAGAGTATTTGTGGTGGCTTTGTCTCAGGCTCGTGCCATGCGCTCTCACATTGCAGCTGTCACACTCCAGCGTTCAGAGGGAGTAGCTGCTAAGAAATCTGAGATGAAAGCAGCCAGGACTCTTGGTGTCGTTGTAGTTGTGTTTCTAATATGTCTCTGCCCATATTTCTTTTTCACACTTACAGGCCAGGACACTTTACTTCATGCTCCATCTGCTATCTTTATAATGTGCCTGTTCTACTTAAACTCCTGTTTAAACCCTATCATCTACGCCTTTTTCTATCCCTGGTTTAGAAAGTCAGTTAAACTCATTGTTACACTTCAAATACTGAAGCCTGGCTCCTGTGAGACGAAGATATTGTGAGGAGACGCTGTGGAGTCACTGTTATAAGGCCTTTAGGTGTGTTTCAACATAACCCTAACCCAAAGTCAGGCCAGTACGACAGAGACATTCAGGCATTTTCTACAAACAGAACAATAATTTCCTCACTTTGAGTTAATTAACTATAAATTTATACTGTCTCACAGAACATTATACTTTAGAGAAAATAATCCTTAAAAGATCTGATTCATGTTTCAGTATTTTTAATTTTTTTTAACCTCCAAATGTGTGAAACAATCCTTAAATAAAATACATTGTGCTTTTGTGAAGAATTAGAAGAACTCTTTTTTCATGTTCCATGCTCACCCTATTTTGTGGATTTTGCATATTTATGAATGGGTGTCATGATAAATATAAATACTTTAGAGACACATCAGTAAAACTTTATTATGGTTTGTCAGAGAATTGAGAAAAAGAAACACAATGTGTGCAATAGTGCAAATGAGCAGGTAGCAGCATAGATAGATAGATAGATAGATAGATAGATAGATAGATAGATAGATAGATAGATAGATAGATAGATGTGACTTGAATGTAAGAGAGGATCTACAATCTGTTTCATTCTTGTTTTATTGAATCGATTCTTACGTATCAGTTGGTATGATTCACTTTCACTAAAGGACAGGAACAGATTACAAGGTATTGTGACAGTTTGCACTAAGATTGCAGGGAAAAGCCTTAATGACCTGCCCTACCTATATAAGGTCAGGGCTCTGAACAAAGCCCAGAAAATTCTGGCCGATCCGAGTCATCCTTTGTTCAGGGAGTTCATGCTGCTTCTCTACAGTCGCAGGTACAAACTGCGAAGATGCAGAACGAATAGATTTAGTCCCTGCTGCTGTTGATTTCTTAAATAACTCACTGTGATTTTATACGGTACACATTTCTTTTTACCAGCTGGACCTTCATGTTTATTGAAGAACTGAATGTGTGGATCATTATTTTACTGCAGTCGAATGCTACTGTTTGTGATCTCTTTGGCCACTGCTGGCTGCAGCATGCCAGGGCCAGCTTTTAATCAGAATCATATGATACATGATGAATGAATAATAAAGAGAAGTGAACTTGTGACCTTAAAGGTCCCTCAATACTACAACTCAGGTGCTCTTGAGGGCTGTTATCCAACCTGTGGTGATGCTCAGTGGCCAGCGCACGAAACTGCTGTTGTTACATCAGAGGGGGAGGGCTTGGGAGTGGAGAAGGAGGAGAGAGGTCGATTAGGTGGGAAATATAATTTAACTGTAAGTAGAAGTTTGGTGAGAAAGCTGCCAGAGCTCGGCGGCTTCTCCTCTTCCTCATGACGGAGGCCATGGAGGGAGCTGAGTTCTGCTTTCCACTACTCCTCAACTCCTCCTGCAAGAAGCCAGAGCCTCCTCGCTCCATCACTTTGCTCCTTTACATCGTGCTGTCCGTCATCTCTCTGCTCACCGTGACTCTCAACCTGCTGGTCATCATCTCCATCTCCCACTTCAGGCACACACCTTTCACCTAATATGCAGTGATTATGTTATGTTGTGGTTTTTAACCATTACTGCTTTCTGCACAACTACGTTGATGATAGCATTCAGAGTGATGATATTTTCTCACTACAGGCAGCTCCACACCCCCACCAACCTCCTCCTCCTCTCCCTGGCTGTCTCAGATTTCCTTGTAGGCTCCTTGCTCATACCGGTCGAGATACTCATGACAGCAACCTGCTGGATGCTCGGCGACATGATGTGTGCACTGTATTACATGTTACCTGTCATCATAATCACTTCCTCTGTAGCCAACATGGTGCTTATATCTGTTGATCGCTATATGGCTATTTGTGACCCTCTGCATTACCCCACCAAAGTCACTCTAAAGGTTGGCACAGTATATGTTCTCTTGTGTTGGAGTTATTCTAGTATAAATAGCGTTTTCCTTCTATATGATAACCTGAAGCAACCGGGCAGGTATAATTCCTGTAATGGGGAATGTGTGGTAAGTATTTCAGGAACTGCTGATCTTGTTGTTGGTTTCATCCTCCCCATTACTGTCATCGTAGTTCTGTATACGAGAGTATTCATGGTGGCAGTGTCTCAGGCTCGAGCCATGAAGTCCCACGTTGCATCTGGTTCTGTCAAGCATTTGAAGATCGTGAAAGTTAAGAGATCTGAGATGAAAGCAGCAAAGACACTCAGTATACTTATAGTTGTGTTTCTGATGTGTTACTCTCCATATTACTGTGTCTCCCTCTCAGGCCAGGACATCTTGATTGGCTCTTCAACTGAGGCCTTCATGATTTTTCTGATGTATTTTAATTCCTGTCTGAACCCCATCATCTACGCTCTTTTCTACCCCTGGTTTAAAAAAGCTACTCGAATCATTGTTACATTCAAGATACTGCAGAGTAACTCCTCTGAGGCCAACATACTGTGAGGGGATAATATATTTTTAAGAACAGTTTTCTATTGTTGTTTGACTGGTTTCAGAAATCAAACACAGTTCATCCTCTGCACGATGATGACAGAGATTAAAGGCTCTGGCTTGTTTGCTGAGACAGAAAATACAGGACCTGTCTCACAGCACATTAGATTTTAGAGAAACTGATCCTTAAAAGATCTGATTCATGTTTCAATATTATTATTATTATTATTAGCCTCCAAATGTGTGAAACAATCCTTAAATAAAATACATTGTGCTTTTGTGAAGAAATAGAAGAACTCTTTCTTTATGTTCCATGTTCGACCTATTTTGTGGATTTTGCATATTCATGAATGGGTGTCATGATGAATATAAATACTTCATGTACTGATTTCATCCCATATTTGAAAGAAAGCGTTGCTCCTCAGACACATGGACCATAAAATATGTATTTCTTAAAGGACATAGTGAATATACTGATGACCAATTATGTAATTATTATAATTATATGTTTTGGAGTAAACTGTGAACTTAAAAAAGCCTGAGGTCAAAGTGCATCAACCACTGGGGGCGTTTTTTTAAAAATACGCTTCTGGTTTGTTTCATTTAAATATACATTGTGACATACGCTGCACTGTGTAGAGGTGCACAGAGACAAAGTGTCTGGCTGACAGTGAAAACCATAAAACACTTGTGAATTTTTCTTGCATTCATCACAATATGAATTCTTATCAAAATAAGAGCTTCCTTTATCTATTAACATTCAGAGCTGTGACAGTCAGGCAAACAACTTCAGTTCTTTAGAGAAAGTTTATCGTGACTCCGCTGATGGATGTTCCCAAATTTGTTGTTTATTAATTTCTTTGTTGTTGTATAGTGGCCATAAAGCTTTGTCAGCTCTTTCAGGGATTGTCTCCAAAGTTTTTGTTTTTGTTTGACACTTGACTTCATTACATGACGCACAAATATTAATACACCGCACTGTCGGGTCCCCTTGAGTCTTAATTAAATCAGAAAATTAAGCAGTGTTCAGTTTTGCCATAACAAAAACAAACACATGTACAGATTCTGTTACTAAGGCTTTTGTCACTGAACAACTCTCAGTGTGTGGCCCATTAGCTGCAGCTAATACCTCTGTGGTGAGGACAGTTTTCACACCTGCTTGCACAACGATGTGATGATGACATCGTTGTGCAATTAAAGGTGTTAAGAGGAAAAAAAAAACAACAACATGATGCAGTGTCTTCACATCAAAACACGATGTTGTTATTGTCTAAGAAACAAACGATTCAATGAAGTAAAAAGAAACTTTTTCAGCTGAGCTCTTGACCTTTAAACTTTTCCAATGCAACACCAGCACATCGACACATGATGCAGTCGTTGCTTAATTCAACCCCAATCACAAAAAAAGGCATAACAGCTCAGAACAACAGAGGTGAATGATATTTTGTTTGTGATATTTCAAAAGCCCAGTGAGACTGTGTCTTTCTGAATAATCCAGACTGAACAGTTTGTCTGATACACCCAGACGGTTTGATTGCGACACATTTCTGTTGTATTTGTGAAGTGTGATTTTCCATATTAAAGCAGCACAAATCAGATTTTTATCTTACAGTTGTGAGGAAACTCTTTTGTGATTGAGATACAACATGTTTCAAAATGATCAATTATCATCGCAGCTGTAGAAGCCTTAAATTAACAATAAAACAAATCTGAAATCAACAACTTTGCCTCAAACAAGATGTTTATCTCCTTATTTATTAGGAGATCTGTCTCATATCTGTGATAAAACTTTAGCATTTAGCTAAATGCTACGGTGGCCCTGAGAGCCCAGTGCGCTGCAACTGAAGAAGAAAAACCACATGTGAACAGACAAAACACAAACAAATTCAGAAAACATCTTCATCAACCTGACAACACATGAGCAGCAAACACTCACAGCACAACAGAAGTGTCTCCAGGGGACACTAAAAAATGGTGAACCTGGCTGGGATGCACTTGTTGTTCAATGCCTTGTGACTTCTGAAGTTTAAAACACCGAAAAACAAGTGCAAAAGTGCGCCCAGCCTGGTTCATCACCTTTCTTTCTTTGAGTTATTTTTGCCTTGACTCAAAGTGACAGTGAGAGAGAGAGAGAGAGGGGATGATATGCAGCAAAGGGCCATGGGTTTGACTCAGCTTGTGATTATTTGCAGAGCATGTGTTGCCAAATTCATGAAGCTGTTTTCTGTATTTGTTTGTGTCTTGTCTATTTGCACTGAAGGTCAAAAGGCCACAGTAAAATAGTGACAAAATGGTGGTGTCATTTGTCATCGATGCCACTGCGAACAAATGTGCATAGTGTGTGTGTGTGTGTGTGAACTCTTCACTTATCTGCTCTACGATTATGTACTGGACTTCCACAGCGTCATCACTTCTATTATAATATTACAGCTGCAACATCATGCAGAGCTGTCACAATGAAACTCACAATACATTGAAAATATCATTTTAATCAACACAAAATGGATAATTCAGCAGAGTTTGGTTCAATTACACAACTTCAGACAACACACACACACACACACACACACACACACACACACACACACACACACACACACACACATACACACACATGCACACACACACACATTAGCTGCTGCTAATGGCTGAGTGCGTCTCCGGTTCAGAAAGTCTTCACACCTGCTTTCACCACAGCAGTCAGAGGTGTTACTGCAAGACAGAACAAGCTGTAACATCAACACATGATGCAGTCATTGTGAAGTAGACCAACTATTCCCAGTAAACGCTTGTGTTTTTATTAGCTGACATAATTTCTGTATTACATACAAATGTGTGTAATGAAATTCCCCAAAATAATCAACAGATGATGCAATCTTTGCTGAAAGAACCAGGGGCCTGTTGCACAAAACACCCTAAGTTAAGATTTTCCCTTAAGGTTAAGATTTCCTTAAAATACATTTTTTAAATTAAATTTAAGATTTTCTACTTATCTTAATCTTATAATTAAGGAATCACTAAAGGTACCTCTGGCTCTGTCTTGACTGCAACAAGAAGAAAATTAACCTTTTAAGTCTCTGTGTAACACTCTCAACTAAGGAGAAATTAAACCTTAAGTGTCATACTTAATTGGAAAACATAAGGATTTGTGTGCAACTGGACCGTGATCATGAAAATCATAAAATAATGAACACGTTGTCACTTCAGTGGCAGCAGCCTTGCAGATAAGTTATAATTCTGTGGTGAATGCACTGTGACACACTGTATTTACTGTATAGCACAGTGAAATTACAACGTATGACGAAATCTATGAGACATGTGGCCGAAGCGCATAATAACAAACTTCAGCAAATTCATTTATTAACTGAGTGACATTAAACATACTGAACCTGTAGATGTAGGCTAATCATAAACATGTCTCTCATTGAGGAACACGTAGTGCACTAAATTACGTTGTGGTGGTAATGTAATCGCCGTCTATGTTCAGTGGCAATGTTTTATTTTTTGAAGAAATTAAGTGCTGCCTTTATCAGGTGGATGGCGATCATATAAAGTTCACATCCACTGTCCTGTCTGTGGTTAGGTTAAGGCAACAAAGTGGTGAGTGCTGAGTTCATTATACAGCTAATACTTTAATGTCAGTAAAATGATCAATGCAAGACTTAATGGCCCAATCCCAATGTCCCCCCTAAGGCCCGAGTCCTGACGTCACCTGGTGAGTGATTGAGTGAAAGAGGCTGCAAAGGCTCAAAATGGTATAAAGAGGAATTGGGCAGCAGTTTATGACACATCACGTTACTTTGACGACGCCAAAACATGTCTGACCCTCTTCTCTGACCATGATGCACGCTTTGCTCTGTACAACATCAGAAAAATCTTACTACGCCACCCAGATCTTGGTCCAGGCCTTGGTTACGCCCCAACTACTGCAATGCACTTCTGGCGGGCCTCCCTTCACGCACAGTGACACCCTTACAGATGGTCCAGAATGCCGTGGCCCGTCTGGTCTTCGATCAGCCTAAAAGAGCACAGTCACTCCACTCCTCATCGACCTACACTGGCTACCCATGGCCGCACTAATCGAATTCAAGTCAGTAATTCTCACCTTCAGGGTGACTTCTGGGACTGCACCACCTACTTTAACTCAGTCGCACCTTATGATCCTTCTTGGCCACTGTGTTCCTCCAAGGAATGTCGTCTGGCATCGCCACAATCGCAGTCCAGACTGTTCTCGTCTGTGGTTCTCCGATGGTGCAACAAGCTACCAAATACACTTTTGGCGCACTTCTTTACTTGACCTCCTTGCAAGTACTTAGCACTTACAGCAAGGTTTCCTACTGCACTGAAGCTTTAGCTTTACCCTAACCCATCCCTCACCATAAAACCCAAACGCTAAAGCTAGTTCAAACCTGAACCCTAAAACCAAGTCTTAACCCTCAAACCAAGGCCAAAATGTCCTCGCAACAATGGTCTCAAACCAAAGTTTTTCACACAACCATAGAAACACATGTATACACACACACACACACACACACACACACACACACACCTCAGAAGTAACAAGTAAGAAGAGATTATTCTCAAGCGGAAACAAACTTTCCTTTAACATTTAATTTGCCTCTGGGCATAGTGTGTTAGCTGCTGCTAATGGCTGTGCACCTCTGTGGCTAGCAACGTTTATACACCTGAGTGTCAGATAATGACACCAGTGTAATGAAAACAAACATGATGTAATGTCTTCGCACCAAAACTAGATACAGTTGGTGTTAAAGAAACAAAAGATTCTACAGAGATTTTCTTTCAGTGGAGATTGTATCTGTCACACGCAGAAAAATTTCTGATGCAACCTCAATACACCAGCAAGTGATGCAATCATTGCTCCACTGATCAGTTCAGCCAAAGCACAAGAAAACATTTTAGACATTTACCACAAGTGGTCTATTTGTTTTTAGATATCATCCCCGTGCACAATATTTTGTTGTTTTTGGCACTAATCATAAGAACATTGTGTCTGTCTAGATAATCCACAAACTTTGCTGTGAACAGTTTGAAGAAATAGTGTTTTTATAACCACTGATTTATTATAAGAACTGGATACCGGACTCAGAGATGGAGCCCAGTCACACAGCGCATAAGCCAAAAAATAAATAAAGAAATGTTAACCCGGCTCACAGACTTCACATTGGGATGACGTCACACACATAACATGTTTTTCCAGCCTCAAGAGTTTTACAAACATAAAACCATCATGGTTTAAAAATTCATACAAAGATTAATAATCTCCTTGTTTAGTTTCACAGTCTTACAGATATCAATTTTATCATTGTGATCGAAAAAGAAAATGCTTTTCAGGCTGCAAACGATTTTTTTTCACGGCAATACCACGAGCGACCACTAGGACAAATTGGCAGCAAGGGTGGGTTATGATATGACAGTGAGGTGTGTCCACAATCCTGAGTGACCAGGACACATTACTGTTATAATATAATGTTTTTATGCACAAACATAACATGAGAAAACTGTCTGGTGATTATGATCTAATACGTTTTATAAAATGATCATGTGATCACAACATAGCTGTATGAAATGAGTTTAAAGGATGTTGTGGCTGTTGGGTCAGTTCATGACGGACGTTGGAGCTGCTATAGAAACAGTTTCAACAGTCGGGTCCATTGTTAAAATGGATGCACCCATAAATCTAACATGGTTAGGCCTCTGCCAAATATTGCGTTCACATCATATTGTTCAGACTGTGCGACCAGGTGAGTGGACAAACTGTTTCCGTCAGCCTCTAACTCATAAAGTTGGAGCTACGCAGGATTTCTGATTTGGTACCACGGGCATTAAATGGTACAAAAACATGTATGAATGACTTTAGGCTTTCTTGTTGATCCTATTAAGACAAAATTAAGTTACACAGTTAATTATGATGTTATCTGTGTCTCTCACAAGCCCTTTTTTGCTGTTGTGGTTACAAGAACTGAAACAGACTGAAAGCAACCTGTTGGAATTTAACACCCAATGTCCAGTGTCTGTGGATGCATCGGCTCGTAGCTCGACTACAACTGCACCATCCAGCAGCTTTTGCTGTAGTATCATTGTCACGATTGCTGGTAGCAGCACAAGAAGGGCAAGTGGACTGGGAGCCGAAGAATGGAGCTGAGGATCCTGGGCAAATGACCCAGGTCTGGTTGTGTGTCAGCAGGGGCTGCTGACTGGAGATCAGGTAGGGCATTGGTAGAGACTGGGGACCAGTTGCAGACTTGACATCGGCCGACACAGAAACAGACGAAATGTCGGCCGGGACAGTCAACTCTTGAACAAACCTTGTTCCCCATTGTGTTGTTTTCCTCCACTGTACTTACTGTAAGTACCAGTAGCAACCTGTAATTCTTTTATGACGACCGTATTCATATGACAAAATTACACTGTAAATCTCGGGCTCGGTTACCAGTATTAATGTAGGAATATAGGAATATTGTTGAAATGTGAGGAGAAGGATGAAAAAAGGACAGAGAGGACAGATATGAAAAAAAAAAAAAAACATGACAGAAATCTTGAGGGAGGATGGAGGATGGAGGATGGAGTCTCTACGTAAGGGAAATGTGAGCTGTAGTGTGGCCGAGGAAGAGGGAGGAAGAAGATAAAAGAGCTGAATGACAAAGAGTTGTGGCCAGAAAGCTGCCAGAGCTCGGCAGCCTCTCCTCTCTGACGACGATGGAAGCCCTGGACAGAGCTGACCTCTGCTTTCCACGACTGAACTCCTCCTGCAAAAAGCCCACACAGCCGCACACCGAGGCCATGCTGATTTATGTTCTGCTTTCCACCATTTCTCTTATCACTGTGGCTCTTAACCTGCTGGTCATCATCTCCATCGCCCACTTCAGGCAGAGATAATAATCTAAAATGTTATAATTCATAGAAGTAACTTAACTTTGATCTGTTATTTTGTGCTTGTTTGACAATTATTAAGTCTCTAATTGCAGAAATAATGAAATAATGTGATATGGCTGGATAATTACAGTATGTTTAGTGATGCTACTCTCCCTCTCCAGGCAGCTCCACACTCCCACCAACCTCCTTCTCCTCTCTCTGGCTGTCTCAGACCTTCTTGTGGGCTTCGTGCTGATGCCCGTTGAAATCATCTACATAGAGGCATGCTGGTTTCTCGGCGACATTCTGTGCACTCTGTATTACGTTGTAGACTACGTCATCACCTCTGCCTCAGTGGCCAACATGGTGCTCATATCAGCCGACCGCTACATTGCTATTTGTGACCCTCTGCGTTACCCCACCAAAGTCACTAAGACAAAAGTACAAATCAGTGTGTGTTTGTGCTGGCTTTGCTCTGTTTTCTATAGGATTCTCCTCTTACTTGATCACCTGCAACAACCAGGCAGGTCTAACTCCTGTTTTGGAGAGTGTGTGGTTGTCATCAACAACACTGCGGGGGTTGTTGACCTCGTTTTCACCTTTATCATACCCATTACTCTCATTATAGTTCTTTATTTGAGAGTGTTTGTGGTGGCTGTGTCTCAGGCTCGAGCCATGCGCTCGCACATTGCAGCAACCCAACGTTCAGGGACTGTAACTGTGAAGAAAATGGAAATGAAGGCAGCCAGGGCTCTTGGCATTGTTGTGGTTGCGTTTCTAGTTTGTTTTTGTCCGTACTACTTCCCCGCTCTGGCAGGCGAAGACACCTCAATCGATGCGTCATCTGTAGCCTTTGAGCTCTGGCTAGCACATTTTAACTCCTGTTTGAACCCTGTTATCTACGCTTTTTTCTACCCCTGGTTCAGAAAATGTATAAAACTCATTCTGACACTTCAGATACTGAAGCCTGGCTCCCGTGATACTAAACTACTATAGTGAGACGCAGGGGTATGGGAACTGTTCTTTATTAAATGTAAAAGGCATTAGCTTATGGTTTATGTTCTTCAGCACAAAAATCGAGGCTCAAGTGAAAACCTGTTATTGTTCTTTAACTTTACTGTATATGTGTGTAGACATTAAACTCTTGATCAATCATTCTGCTATCAAACTGCATCTATTAGCTGCATACTGTGCCTGTATGTATGTGTCTGTATGTACATGAATGTGTGAATATACTTTGGTAATAACAATTTAAACATAAACATAAGCACACAATCATTTAAACATGAAGTCAATGTAAGATCAGTTGTGTTATAGTGATAGTTTCCCCTCTCCTGTAGCTTTGTTTTAGAAAATCTCTAACTCCCTTTTGGTTTAAGATGAGAGTATTGTTTAAACATAAAATTAATTGAAAACCCTAAGACCACTAAGACTGGGCCCGAGTTTAATCCACCTCCAGATTCCCTGTTTCTTGGTAAATAGTTCATTACATGGTCAAGTCGATCTCAACTTTGAAAGTTAGGAATAGCACAGGAATAAATATACTATCACCTCAAACAACTCAAGGCCAAACAGCATGTGTTCTTCATGTGGCAGTGTATGTGGTATTTTCATGTTCAGCTCAAGCCAGAAACATGCACTAGTGCAAAACTCAATTTCTCCTAATCTGATTCATAGATTAAGTGTAAAGGTATAACATTTTCTTATTTTGGTTTTCAAAACCAAAACATATTTTAGCTTTTGTTTTGTTTTCTCCTGTCAGAAATGATATAATCAACAGAACATAACAACATTTCTATCTTTAAATCATTAAGACATGCATATGGTCATATTTATTTTGCAAGAAACTGTTTTGGTCGACTCTAATCTTGATTATTAACTGCAGTTGTTTCCTGAACCAAGTGGCTGCAGGAGCTAAAACAGGAAGCAGTTATAACAAGGGGAAATTGTATCGGTAAAGGAGCACAAAAGATGCAAACAGTAAACATACGGGCCTTGATCCAAACTGTAGGGGGGGCATTATTAGAACCTTAACCTTCACCTTAACAACTGAATGTCTGACCTTAACCCTGCTGCTGTTGTGGCAGACCATGCTGCTTATGGGAAAGTAGCCATTACCCATGTATCACTCATTTCCCTCATCTTGAGAAAGTAACTTACTCACAGAGTATTCCATTAACAATTCTTTGGATCAGTAGAATGTTTTTCTTGAATTGATCCACTGATATAAGACAGTTCAGTTCAACAGACTAATGTTGTAACTATAAATTGACCGTTTACTGTAAATACCTCCACAGGTAGAATTGATGGAGACATAATTTTTGATTTCAAATATGTATGATCCCCTCTATGAATCGCCACCTTAACGTGGCAGAAGGGTTTGTGTGTCTCAGTAATCCTGGGAGCTGTGTTGTCACTTCCCCGCACAGTACTGTCACTACAACCAAACTCCTGTAGAGGTGCTGGACTCAATCCAGGCGGGTGTGAGGATACTCAGGAGCCTTCAGTTGAACACCGCTGGGTTTGGGTTCCTACCAGAGAACGAGAGGCTCTGACTGCTGTCTGTGTTTATGCACTGAACAGCAGTTCAGGCCTACCCAGGCTTCTTGGAGTCTCTGGGTGGAGTCCTGGAAGGGGCACCACCCGGGGACTCTATAGTTCTTCTGGCGGACTTCAATGTTCATGTGGACAATGACGAAGAAACCTGGAGGGGGTAGATTTGGGGGAATGGCCCGCCTGATCTGAACTCGAGTGGTGCTTTGTTATTGGACTTGTGTGCTAGCCATGGATTTGGCAGAACAAACACCATGATTGAGCATAAGGTAGTTCATAAGTGTACTAGGCACCTTAAAACCTTAAGCCTAAGATCAATGATCGAATTTGTGGTTGTATCATCTGATCTGCTGCCACATGTCTTGAACACTCAGTTGAAGAGAGGTACAGAGCTGTTAACTGATCACCAAGCAAACCCAAATGAGTAGTGAGGGTGAACTGGAAACATCTGGCCCAGGCCCCTGTCCATTGGGTCTGTAAGTCCGACCTCTGGAAGAGTTTCTCATATCCTGGGGGAGATTGGGCCATGTGGAATCCAAGTGGGCCATGTTCAAAGCCTCCATTGTGGATGCAGCTGCCAGGAGTTGTGGCCAAAGGGTCATCAGTGCCAGTCGTGGTGGTTATCTGAGAACCTGCTGGTGGACACTGGAGGTGAGGGAAGCCGTCAAGCTGAAGAAGGAGGCCTTTTGGGCCTGGTTGGCCCAGGGATCTCGTGAAGCAGCAAACAGGTACTGGCATGCCAAAGTGGCTGTGGCTGCAGCGGTCACAGATGCTAAAACCCGTGTGTGGGAGGAGTTCGGGGACCCAAGGAGAAGGACTTTCGGTTGACCTCAAGGAGGCTCTCGCAAACCATCAACCACCTCATGAGCTCTGGGTCCTGGGTCATAACTGACAGGTAAAGGGTTGCACAACTTGAACTGCATGGAATACACATATTGCATAATTGTATTCTGAGCAGACAGCAGTGTATGTGCCATGGAGACGTCATGGAGACATACGTCAACTGTGTGATTGTACGACCTAAATCTCTGCCAAAACTTGCCTGAAAATGGAAACAGGCAGAGAAAATGGAAAGAGGGGGGAATGTCGGCTGAAATAGGTCCACAATGGCAGGCATATACGCACAACCTACATCCAGTTAGTCAGACCAGAGTAGACTTGACCAGTGTGTTTTCTACTCTTGGTATTGCAGTCCTTGAATTGGTGTAATTAAAGTTTCCAGCTACAATGAAAACCCCCTAAGGATAAGCATTCTGCCGTTTCTATTGCAGTCAGCAGATAACCAAGTACTACATTTGTGTTAGCATCTGGTGGGCTATATACAGCTGTGACAATAACACCAGAAAGCTCCCATGGTAGGTAGAAGGGTCTAGTGCCAGTAATTCTAAGTTAGTGGAGCAGTACAATGATTGCTGTGCTTGTACACCTGTTATTGTTAATGTACATACACAGTCCACCTGTGCGGCCCTTGTTGCAGTCACAGGGATGTCGTACAACAGGTGGAAATGATGTGACATGACTATCCATAGTCTATTTTGTAGGAAAGTGACTCAATACTGGACTGGAAATAAAGATTCAGGGGTGCGGTGGTTTGTGAGGAGCCTGTCTTAGCTTAATTATGAATTGTTCCAATATGTGGGAATTTTCTGCCACCAAATGAAAAAAAAAACAAACAAAAAGGAAAGAAAAGCGTGGCACTGTTTCCAGGAATCAATGTGCAGGCGTAGCCTTTTGAAAAAATAAATAAATAAATAAAACATTATTATTTTGTCTGTTTACTTTTTAAAGATTTACAATTTACTTTGCCTGACTACGTTCAATAACACAGAGAGCCAGAGTTTGACATTCTGGGATTTCGCCTTCTGATAATATGGAATTTGCATTTGACAGGGGAGAAAGAAAGAGATAAATCAGTTGTATGACAAAGGGCTTCACTCAGAAAGCTTTGAGCACTCAGCAGCTTCTCCTCTCTCTCTCTCTCTCTCTCTCTCTGAGTTTGACATTCTGGGATTTCGCCTTCTGATAATATGGAATTTGCATTTGACAGGGGAGAAAGAAAGAGATAAATCAGTTGTATGACAAAGGGCTTCACTCAGAAAGCTTTGAGCACTCAGCAGCTTCTCCTCTCTCTCTCTCTCTCTCTCTCTCTCTCTGAATATGGGGGGCCAGCTAGGAGACGAACTCTGCTATCCCCAATACCACAACGCTTCCTGCAGGAAGGCGATGCACTCTCAATCGGAAGACATGATTCTTCACAGTCTGCTGTCCTGCATCACTCTGTTCACTGTGGTTCTGAACCTGCTGGTCATCATCTCTATCTCCCACTTCAGGCAGAGATAGAATTTCTCTGCATGGCCTAAAAAATGTTTTTCTTAAATTATTTCCATCATCTTGCTGATGAAAACATTTACAGATTAGAACACATTCATATTATTTTTGTGTTTAACATGTGATATACTTCTGTGTTTATGATTGTTACTTGTCCCTTGATATATACTGTAGAAATACAGTGTTTAGGCCTTTGATTAATGCATACGAGGTATTTGAAATATTTTTACAACTGCTATGCTGTAATATATTTATTTATGTTGTTACAGTACAGTTCATGCATTTAGAGTTATAACCGTTATTAACACTTATTTTTACAACTGCTACAATTAACAGTGTGTTTGTGTTGAAATTCTCTCATTTCAGGCAGCTCCACACCTCCACCAACCTCCTCCTCCTCTCTCTGGGTGTCGCAGACTTCCTTGTGGGCCTCCTGCAGATGCCAGCTGAAATCCATGTGTTGGGAGGCTGCTGGATGCTGGGTGACTTTATATGTGCTGTGAATTACTTTTCGGGTTACCTCACTGTCAGTGTTTCAGTAGGAAACATGGTGCTCATATCAATTGACCGCTATATGGCAATTTGTGACCCCATGTTTTACTCCACTAAAGTCACTTTGAGAAGAGTTCAATACTGTGTTTGTCTGTGTTGGATATTTTCTGGTGTGCACAGCGCTTGGATACTGAGAATTTTCTTAAAACAACCCGACATGTATAACGCCTGTTATGGAGAGTGTGTAGTCGTACTTAGTTACGTTGAAACATCTGCTGACCTTTTCTTTACCTTTTTAGGCCCCATTGTTGTCATCACAATTTTGTACTTGCTAGTATTTGTGGTGGCTGTGTCTCAGGCTCGTGCCATGCGCTCTCACATTGCAACTGTCACACTTCAGCGTTCAGAGACTGTGAAAGCTAAGAAATCTGAATTGAAAGCAGCCAGGACTCTTGGTGTGGTTATAGCTGCATTCATTCTGTGCAACAGTCCGTATTATTGTTTCATTGTTGCAGCTGAATACAACTTGATAGGGGCATCGACTGCATACATCGAGCTTTGGCTATTGTATTTCAACTCCTGTCTAAACCCTGTAATCTATGTTTTTTTCTACCCCTGGTTCA